GGGGGACGGGCGGGAATAACCCCTGCCTCAACCTTTCCGCACGGTTTTAAAGCCCCCTCCCAGGCGTGTCACACTTCCGTCTGCCACCTTTCCTGTTGCTCCCCCAGCCCCTGCTGGCAGGGCAGGCTGGCCCTGCCTTTTTAACCTGCAGGGACTTTTTTTTCCCTGGAGCAATTCGAGATGAGAGACAAGCTGCACAGCTGAAGAGGCGCGCGGCTGTACTCCTTGTACCCTCCAGCAAGGACAGACCCTCACATCGTAGATTCATAGACATGAGGGCTGGAAGGGACCCTGGAGGATCATCGAGTCCAGCCCCCTGCCCCAGGGGCAGGAAGTCAGCTGGGGTCATAGGATCCCAGCAAGATAAACATCCACATTTCTCTTGAAGGCATTCAAAGTGGGTGCTTGAACCATCTCCGGCGGCAGGCTATTCCAGACCTTGGGGGCTTGGACTGTAAAGAAGTTCTTTGTGTCCAGCCTGAAATGGTCCTAGAGGAGTTTGTGACCATTTGACCCTGTCATCCCCTGGGGTGCTGGAGTGAACAAATGTTCCCCCAGGTCCTGATCACCCCTGAGCCTGTGCTTTTCCAGGCTGAAGAGTCCCATCGCGCTCAGCCTGTCCTTGTAAGGTCTGTTTTCCTGACCTCTGATCACACACGTGGCTTTCCTCTGCACTCTCTCAAGCTTCTCCACATCCTTTTTGAATTGTGGGGCCCAAAACTGGACACACTACTCCAGCTGCGGCCTCACCAAGGCCGAGTACAACGGGAGAATGACATCCTGGGATTTGCTTGAGAAGCATCTATGGATGCAAACCAGTGTTTTGCTCACTTTACTAGCTGCAGTATCACATTGAAGGCTCATGCGGTCAGTCATGACCTCCAAGTCCCTTTCGTCCATAGTGCTAACCAGGGTAGCACTGCCAAACCTATAAGCGTGCTGCAGGTTTTTCTCCCCAAGGTGCAGAACCTTAAATTTTTCAGTGTTAAACACCATCAGGTTCTCATCAGCCCATTTCCTGAGCCTGTCAAGTCAGCCTGGATTGCCCCCCGTCGTCAGGTGTGGATGCTTTACCCCAGAG